AACTATAATAAATTTAGTGTGTGTAAATTTATTATAGTTGACGAATACGCACTTTTTAAATACTTTTTAAATGATTTTATAAAGACATATGAGGGCAAGCAATGCACTAGATTAGCGTAATTAGGGCACATGATGATGGCACTATGTTGCCGAAACACGTCGTGAAGTAACAGGTGAGATTGAGTGCACTACAAGACGGCCACTGTATACATGTCATGGATGAAAATCAGTGCAACAGGACGCTAAAATACAACATTATGATATAAGCAGTTCTGATGAAATTAAGATAATAAACATAACTGTAGAGCCTTTATTTAAAACCCATAAAAAGACAATGCATTTATTCGCCGACAGAAGACTGGGGAGTTGCACTTGTTTTTGAACGTAGTGTTGCAGGTTTGAGGAAACTGTCTCAAGTTTTGACTGAACAGACAAGTGACTCATCTGCCTCCCTAAGTGCCACGTGTCTTTCAAAGTACAAACTGGTTATAAATTATTGTCGTGGTTTCCGTTTATAAGTCACAGAAATCCCGACAATAAATTCGAATCACCCTGTATGTACTCAATTGTGAACAGCATTTTTCATATTTCGAACTGGATTAAATGACATCCGGATTATCTGTAGCCGCATTAGCAAGGGCTAAGTGTATATAGGCGATACAGTTCTGTAACTGCAACACTTGGCAGAGTATTAGTTAAACACCACTTTGTTAAGTGCCTGATATGATTCACTGAATCTTGTCTCTTACGCCGCTCTCGTCTCGAAATGAGACATCCTACACAAGGAAACAAACGGAACGTTTGCTTAACTTTCTAGCAACTGGCAGTGGGAGCGGTTGCAAACCTGGGGACCATTGCATCAGGAATGACTCTCGGGTTCTCCGCCGTGGCGCTACCTGTCATGCAGGCGGAAGACCACACTCCATATATATCTGATGAACAAGCATCATGGATAGGTGAGTGACTGCGCGTCACTGATAATTTACAATGGCAATGTCCGTACGCCACTGCACGAATTATAATGTACTAATAGAACAATGTAATAAGCATGACTGCACGCCACTGCAACATTACAGTATCTGCAAGCCACTCAACTGACTCCAACGCCCTCTTATGTAACACAGCAATGAGTATGTCCGCAGGCCATTGCAACGTCACGATGACAATATCCGCGTGCCACTTTGCAAGGCACGATTACGGCGTGTCTGCACGCACCTGAAGGAAAGAAACCCACGTTGGAGGTTACGGCACGGACGGAAGGACAATACTAAAATTCACGTGACTTACATAGGGTCTACACTACAGTGGGCCAACGGGAAGAAGTCCCATGCATGGACCCCCAACACTGTGACACGTCTCCCCTACACTAGTACAGCCTGTCTGCCCATATGCATATTGATAGTGATAACCTTCCCTAGAAGTAAATGCAGCACTAGGCGAGCACTTTCCATGGAACTTACTTCCATGCCCTTTGCATAGATCCACCTGGATAATATAGGGAATAGTGGCAGACGCTTATGAGCAGGGCAATGGACTTCGTGTAAATGAAAGGGAGGGAATATCTGGACCAGTAGATTCTCTCAAGAACGCCTCTGTCCCAATTCTTGACCAGCAGACTTTCTCAAGAACGCCTCTGTCCTAATTCTCGACCAGCAGACTCTCTCAAGAACGCCCCTGTCCCAATTCTCGACCAGCAGACTTTCTCAAGAACGCCTCTGTCCCAGCGTAATTTAGAACATGTTTCTTGACCAGCAGACTTTCTCAAGAACGCCTCTGTCCCAGTTCTCGACCAGCAGACTCTCTCAAGAACGCCTCTGTCCCAATTCTCGACCAGTAGACTCTCAATAACGCCTCTGTCCCAATTCTTGACCAGCAGACTCTCTCAAGAACGCCTCTGTCCCAATTCTTGACCAGCAGACTTTCTCAAGAACGCCTCTGTCCTAATTCTCGACCAGCAGACTCTCTCAAGAACGCCCCTGTCCCAATTCTCGACCAGCAGACTTTCTCAAGAACGCCTCTGTCCCAGCGTAATTTAGAACATGTTTCTTGACCAGCAGACTTTCTCAAGAACGCCTCTGTCCCAGTTCTCGACCAGCAGACTCTCTCAAGAACGCCTCTGTCCCAATTCTCGACCAGTAGACTCTCAATAACGCCTCTGTCCCAATTCTTGACCAGCAGACTCTCTCAAGAACGCCTCTGTCCCAATTCTTGACCAGCAGACTTTCTCAAGAACGCCTCTGTCCTAATTCTCGACCAGTAGACTCTCTCAAGAACGCCTCTGTCCCAATTCTTGACCAGCAGACTTTCTCAAGAACGCCTCTGTCCTAATTCTCGACCAGTAGACTCTCTCAAGAACGCCTCTGTCCCAATTCTTGACCAGCAGACTTTCTCAAGAACGCCTCTGTCCTAATTCTCGACCAGTAGACTCTCTCAAGAACGCCTCTGTCCCAATTCTTGACCAGCAGACTTTCTCAAGAACGCCTCTGTCCTAATTCTCGACCAGTAGACTCTCTCAAGAACGCCTCTGTCCCAATTCTTGACCAGCAGACTTTCTCAAGAACGCCTCTGTCCTAATTCTCGACCAGTAGACTCTCTCAAGAACGCCTCTGTCCCAATTCTTGACCAGCAGACTTTCTCAAGAACGCCTCTGTCCTAATTCTCGACCAGTAGACTCTCTCAAGAACGCCTCTGTCCCAATTCTTGACCAGCAGACTTTCTCAAGAACGCCTCTGTCCTAATTCTCGACCAGTAGACTCTCTCAAGAACGCCTCTGTCCCAATTCTCGACCAGCAGACTTTCTCAAGAACGCCTCTGTCCCAGAGTAATTAATTGATTGCGTATCTCTCTTCAGCATCTCTAGTGTCCCTCGGAATGCCGGCGGGCTGTCTGCTCATGAGCCCACTGCTAGACAGACTGGGGCGCAGGCGTTCCATGATGCTTGTCAACGCGCCCGCAGTGCTGGGCTGGTTTCTCATCGCCACGGCCTCTCACAGCGAGCCCTGGTTCCTATATCAAGTGTACGCGGGTCGACTCCTCACAGGTTTCGCTACGGGGCTCGTCAGCACCCCGGCAGTTGTTTACGTGGGCGAGGTCTTGCATAAGAAATGGAGGGCCGTTGTGGTCACGTGGCCGTCGTTTGGTAAGTAGGGCAGGGACCAGTGCCTTGGCGCCCAAACAACATTTCCAGTGCGAACTGTAACAACCGACTTGTTATTTCAGGCATTTCTCTCGGTATCGTGGCAGTCTACACACTAGGAGCACTCTTCCAGGATAACTGGCGCCTGGTGGCAGGCGTCTGTTGCTTCCTCCCGGCAGTCTCCATCGCTGCGGTATGGGCGATGTTGCCAGAGAGCCCAGTGTGGCTTCTATCGCGGGGCAGGGCTCAGGAAGCAGAAGCCTCCCTTAGGTACATCAGAAGTGTGCCTACGGAAGACCCACTCCCAGATAATTTGCAGCAGGAGCTGGACGACATGATGCACAGCAGCGGACGACTGGACAAAACCAACAGCTGGAAGGACATACTCGGCTTCCTCAGAAAACCTGAGGCTTACAAGCCGCTTCTTATCTTCAATGCTTTCTTCTTTTTCCAGCAGTTCTCTGGAATATTTGTAGTGATAATGTATGCAGTGACTATTGTCAGAGAGATCGGCGTGCATGTTGACGGTTACCTTGTAACGGTACTTATTGGCATATCAAGGTTGGTCATGAGCGTTGTGATCAGCTGCGCGTCCAAACGGTGTGGCCGTCGGCTGCTGTGTAACATATCCGGAGTGGGAATGACGCTGTCCTCAGGCGTGCTGGCCGGGTTCCTCAGTCTAATGCACGATGGGTACATCAGCCATGAAGCAGCTGTAGCATACGGGTGGATCCCCATCACTGCGCTCCTGCTCTCTGTCTTGACTGGTAATTTGGGCTTCCTGACACTCCCTTTTGCTATGCTTGGGGAAGTCTTTCCTGCTAAGATAAGGGGCTGGGCATGTGGGGTAACAACCTTCATAGCGACTCTCTATTCCTTCCTGGCCATCAAACTGTTTCCGGACATGAGGCACTGGATGGGATATCACAACGTGTTCACTCTGTACACTGCAGTGGTTGCCATAGGAACCGTCACTATGTACTTCTTTCTACCTGAGACGCATGGAAAGAGTCTGCAAGAGATCGAGGAGTTCTTCAGGAGCCGACGGAAGGCGGCGGATGGAGATAAGGCAGCCAAGAAACTGATGGCTGTGTCTGAAGGGTTGCCGTTCTCCAGGAGCAACAGGGTGGCTGCAGGTGGGGACAAGACAGCCGCGTGCCTGTTGCCTGGGCCAGAATAGTTGAAGTTGTTCAGGGCCATTAGCTGGTCCTTCTTCAGGAACAACTGGGCGGCAGTTGATGGAGACAAGGCAACTGAGAAAGTGAACTTAGGGTCTCAGAACACAGAGACCGTCGTGATGGGACCGAGATTTGTGGCTGGTACGGAATGCTTGCAACATTGCTACGCGGGGTGTCTGTGCCAGAGTGCAGCTGCACTCTACTCCAGTCCTTTCCTGCGAAGCCAAATCAGAATATTTCAGAGCTCCAGACTTCGGCCAACGTCTCTACCTTTGAAGGTTGCAGTTCGGTTTGGGTTCAGAAACTGATAGCATCCCGCCCACTTTCAAAACACGGCACATGTAGAAGTGCAAAAGGAACATATTCATTGGCTGGGTTTCAGGTAGTTTGGTGTAAATTCACTGACGTTTCGGAGGTCGGACTGCTTGCATCATCAGGCTCCGTTTGTTGCTTGTTTCTTATTCGTTGCCTGCTTTGCTTAATCTTCTACCCTGATGATGGGAGCAGTGTTTTTGTCGGAGACATCAGTATGCTTGGTGTACATTCCAGTCGCTTTGTATGTAGCCTTATGCAGTGCCGAAACAGCTGAAATTGAAGGGCTCAGAAGCCCTTATGCCTTGAGCAAACTGTCTACGGTATCTGCGATGTTGCATCGAAGGGGTCAAGTCCACTGTTTTCGGTGTCTGAAATACACGTATATCTGAGCTTGTGTCACCATGTGACAGTGACCTAAACCAGTACATCATCCGTAGAAATGTTCTAAACCGACGAGTATTTGTAACACGCGATGGGAACCAAAACCGCCATACTGGAGAGCATGTTGAAGACACGGGGCGTTTCTTCCGTAAGATTTGCCTATTCAAGGCGACACTCTTCGGCTGGACGTCACGACAAAAAGAATGGTATGTGTTTATACAGCAGTGCACAGGTATTCCTCGAATTGTGGGATAGTTTGTGCAGACGGTAAATCACATAAATCGAACATAATTTTCTCCTCCGTAAACACAGAATTATCGACCCCCTCCCCTTTCAGCAACCAACTCGCATTGAAGCGACCCCTGTTAACTGAAGTCGCCCTGAATTAGTTTGTCGCTTTAAATGGAATGAACATAACACGAGAGACAGCCGTCCTTAATTAGCTGCTTTCCTTACGTATATTTCTGTACTTAACTACCAGTTTCGGAAATTACATCTGTTTCCATCCTCTGGTGGGGTTCGTTAGGGAGAAGTGATGTCTTCGGTCGGCTACTGGCAGGGTCACTTCGAGCGGGCTGCTTGCCCTGCGCTCCTGTCCGCCCGTCCGTGGCACAGAGCATTCTCTTGGTGCGCACTGTGCGGACGCGATCTGATCTTGCCTTGCAAGCCAAGCAGTGTGGTCCACCCTGCTCCCAACAGCTCATAATTCAACAATATTTAACGCTTCATAGCACAGCGGTAACTATATATACCACCTACGTTATCCCACGAAATGTATTCATGTGTTCTGTATGACTGTGACATTAAACGAAGAATTTAAAAGCGAAATTTTGTGTGTTTTTTCTGTTTCACCATTTTGCGTCATCGTAACTTCAGTGTTAAGAACAGTACATGAGATGCGTAGCCTAAATGGTGGAGTTCGAATCTCGGCCAGGAATCCCGACTATCCTGAATGAGCTTTTTCATAGTTTTCCTCAGTCCCTTCGGGTAAATGCAGGGATAGTACTGTACTTGAAATCAGGTTATGCCCGATTCCTGTCAAATCCATTACAATTAATTACTCTCTAATAATCCTATCGCTGGACGCTACACAGCCAGAGATAGAGACAGCGTCATTAAATAAACAATAAGTAAATAAGTGATTCGCCGCTGTCTGATACTGTCATCCAAATAAGTAAGTAAACTCTCTTCCGTCCTTACATTTTATTTAGTGCTGTTAATTCTGAGTTTGGGTCCTTGCACCGTATGGATGTGGGCAGAGCTTCCGACGTTTCGGAGATACACGCTGCCTCCATCTTCGGGTTTGAACTCGGTGGGCTGGGTCCTACCGTCCGCCCGTATGTGTGTATAAGACCCGAGAGGGAGGAGAGGGCCAGTGCTGGGTCCGGACCAGCGGACACGGAACAAGTTACTTCACCGAACCCCCATGACCTAGTGTTCCCAAGCGCTCAATATGCGCAGTTTAACACGGTTCAGTGATCCAAAGGGCACAGTCAGTGCTGCGAGAGTCTCAATGAAGTGACCCCACTTGTTTATTTACAAAGAACCGTTGAACCTTGTCCATAGTCGAAGCGAAGCAAGTGACCAGGCTTCGGAAATTCGTCCCACTTTCTTGAGCAGCGGAACAGAAGACGGGCAGGAGCTCTGCTGCTTGCGCCCTGCTCAAGTCTGCACGGCGCCCACAATGAATCCGACACTGTAAGGCAAGGCTCCACCACAATGGCCTTCGTGACATGGCATCACGAAACATCCGAGGAGTAAGTACGTCATCACTGCATCAGAAGGAACAAAAAGCAGCAAGAAGACGCGAGTTACACAACATTTTTTCTGTTGGACGGACGCAGACACGTGCTGGCGGACGCGGCTATGGCGTGCTATAAGGTGAGTTCATCACGTTACGTAACAGTGAGCCCCCCCCCCCAATTTCACGCGGTTTTGAGAGACTTGTGTAACGGATCCGAACCGAGGCCCCCACTGCCCTGCAACTGCGTGCGAGGAAGTAACTTCCTCCGTCATTCCTTCTTTATATAATCACGAGACAATTTCACGTCACCATGGCAACTAGTTCCATGCGCGGATGTGACAGCATTGCAGGCAATGGTAATATCCTGATGTGGTTATGTGAAGTGCAGTTGTATGCTCTGTAAAGCAGGCTGTTTACGGCTAACTATTTCTGCGTCATATTCGTGGGGGATGGCGCTAAACGTCGGCCTCGGCGCATCATTCGGTAGCATGTAGGACTCGAAAGCAATGTTGGGGAATTTTGTTTTAAAATAGGGAGGGCTATATGAGGGCGAAATTTTGAGGTCACCAATGGAAGGGCTGCACATGAAGCATGCAGTGTAACGTGGAATCTGGGCACCAACTCAGCATTTGCTCTAGGGCCGAGTAAAATCACGGAAAACCTTGATGGAGTTGGCCGGTCGCAGGACCTTCCGGATGTAAACCGACTTCTAGCCAGCAGTCCGGCGTTTATACGTCAGTCCATGTCTGGCTGTTGCTCCTTCATCTTAACAAACGTCCATATTTCCTTCAAACAGTTTCTCTCCTGTGTATACAAGGAGCTTTGCGGTATGTGTAAACAGCATACACGCCTACACACACCTACATATGTAAACATGTGGCTCATTAGTCCATGTGACCGCCGACGAGTTCTGTGAGTGGTGCATGGCTTCTGACAGAGATTCTCATCAGTTTCAGCCAAGTGTTTGCTTGCGAACATGAGACTGTTCCGCACGTCAAAGACCTTTGATACCGTGCCCTTGCTAACATCTTGATATGAGTTCTTATTAATTATTTACATTTGATGTCACAAATGTCAGTTTCGTTATTATCCTCAGGACTTTACTTCGAAATGTCTGTGTCAGCAGCATGTCTCCAGACATGTCACTACAGAGAGCGGAGACGCTAGATTAATTAATGTTAATGGTGGAGGATTTGTTTCAGATAGGGAACAGTTGCCTCAGCCTGCAGTTAGCTTTGCGCAGGATGCAGGATATGTTGGTCCTTTATGCTAATTTTGAATCTTATGTCCAACAGGAGATTTCGTTGAGAATCTTTACTGGAAGCAAACTGCGGCGGAGATAGTCTGGAAAACAAAGTAACTGTGCACTTGTTTGTAAGATTCCTAATTCTCCATTTCCGGAACACGGGCCCAAGAGGCTTACCTGTCTATCTCCAGTCCTTTTGTTGGAACAGTTTCTTAATTCTATACATATTCGGTAGGATTCCTTGGACGGGAGATCAGTCCGTCGCAAGGCTGCTACCGACACACAGGACAACACAAATACACAATAAAGGCAAACAAACACCCATGCCTTCAGTGAGATTCGAACCCACGATCTCAACTTTCGAGCCGCGGCAACTGCGATCGGCTTCTAGGCCTTCTAAGTGGCCCAGAGCAGCGGCTGACATGACATAGCGTAAATGTTGAAGGGTACGTTGGCTCTGGTGAGCCAAGCTGAGGCACTCCTGCCTGAATGGGGCGTTGGCTTGGTTGAAAGTCCCTATTCAACAAAGAAAAAGATCGATTGGGAGATAATTGTGTACCGCATGTGTTAAACGAGGCAAAATATTGGCCAAAATAAATTTAGAAATTAGTCCTGTGGCCCTTCCAGTGTCTCGCAATAAGGCAACTGTAACCTTGTTATCTTGAAGAGCGTGCGCTCTGTGCTTCTCACAGATGCAAGTGTTGACAGAGTCCTCATGTTTACATTAGTGAAATAGAACAAGAAATTCTGGGAATAACCAACTGCCTATGTTCGCGTGGTATGGTACGGGCCACAAAGCAAACGAAAAGAATTTGAGGGGAAAAACACAGACACAGAGACAGCAAGGCGGGGGGGGGGATATGCAGACAGCAAGGTGATCTCATAAACCTCTTCTTATTTTTTCAAAATAAGGAAAACATACTAAAATTCAGTCCGTACCTCATAGGAAACATTACGTCTCCGCTACAGAGCCCAACCGGTTAATGCTGTTTAGGGAAACAGTCGCTGTTTACTGTGAGAACCGTACGGAACACACAGCTACACTCTGTGGGCAGAATGCAGAATATTCGGTATTAAAGTAGATGGTACATATAGTGACCACTGTGCTTCAAAAGTATAAGACCGCGGATTTAATACACTATGTTAAGAACTTGTGTTAGTGGGTGAAAGCCATCATGAAGCCCGCAGATTTGATCTGGACAGAAGTGTTTCATCAGGCAAAAATTGAAACCTGACCCGAAATTTTGCAATTTTCTTGTCAACACTAAAGTTTCGTATTAGGAACCGCCACAGTTGTGGCCCGTTCCAAATTCGAATGTGTGGGTGTGGGGCGTGATAAGTCAGGTTAAAATCTCTGGAACAATTCCAGCAGACGTGGAATCATGCGGAGCGCGGCACACACAAACTTAAGTCCCCAGATCAGGAATGTGACGGCGCATGCGTGTCGGAAAAATACTGCTGATTCCATGTGAACACCCGCTTAATCTGCTAGACTTAAAGTCTCGTCAGTTACGTTGTTTATCTCAAAAGTTATGAAGTGTGCGCTCAGCGTAGAAGCCAGACACAAAACGTGTTTTTAATTTCTCTCTATAACTTCTTTTTTTTTTGGAAACACTTTTCACTCCCATAAATATTTAACGATGGACGCAGAAACCCCCGCAAAGCTTGTTCGTTACTGTCGTCCGATGTGTCCCGTTCCGTGAGATCCCGAATTGCTGTTGGCGGACAGGCGCTAAGCTCCGATGTCACGGCATCCATACGCTCCAGCTTACCTTCAGCTGTTCGGGGAACAGTGGGTCACTCAAATTATACGTCAAGTCGCTCTCATGGAGGCTTCTCAGCGTGGGCGAATCGGCGCAAACAGGAAACCTCACAGTAGTGTTTCCGTGCGGGAATGCCTTCCCGGCGTTTCTTGGCATCATTTGAATGTTTCTCCGAATCACGAAAAAAAAAAAAAAAGTCGAGAAATCGGGAAAAAGAAAACACGCTGGAACACATTAGGAAGAATTATCCAGTGGGTTTTAAAGACATTAAATCCGATTTAAATTGTTTCAATTTTTCATTTTAAGAATGATGACCTTTAAATAGTAAATATTTGTGATATTATCTTTCAAATTTTAAAATGATTTTACTTGGCGCCCATTTCATTGCAATGTTACCTTCTTCTCATGCTTTCTATTATCAAATGTCTGTTCTGGCAGAGACCATTTTTACACGTCATTCAATTATATAATCTTGTGACAATATATTGGCTCATACGAGTAATAATAAGAAACATGCATTTATTATTATAATATTGTCTTTTGCAGATAATTTCTTAAATTTTTAGCATAACCCTATCACACAAAAATGATTTGCTGCTTATTATTAAAACACGCAAATAAAATGTTTCTGTAAATACGGCATAACTTATGATTTCGGGAAATCCCGAGAATTCCGATTTCCCGTTCCCGAAAGTAGCCCTCGGGCTTGGATGTGGGGACATTAGCCACCATGTTATGAAGACGTATGGGGGGAGTGCACGTATAGAGGGAACTAAATGGAGGTGTGTGGCCAGTTTCGCGTGCCAGCCGTTTTTACAGGGGAAATAGCGCCCGGAACCCTTCGGGGCAGCTGGGCTGGGTGGGTCACAGGGCTGAGTCGACCCCAAGGCCATAGTGCGGTGGTAAGAATTAGGTTAATTGGAAAAATCAACTGACCTCATCGGGACTTGAACCCGCGACCTTCCTGCTTGTAGCATGGTGCCTCAACCAACTAGGCTATCGCGTGTCTCTCAGAATACCGAGCCAAATGAATGCAGTCTGTGCCCCCAAACCCCATTTTCACGGTTCCTGACAGTCATAACAAAATCCCGTTTTCGTCATCTCCTTTCTTCAGCCGCGTATGACAAACTACTCATATGATTGCGTGTTTGTTCTGCACAGCAACTGGCGCTAGGGGCTGTGGCCAATCTGGGAACAGTAGCTTCAGGAATGACGCTTGGATTCTCCGCCGTGGCGCTACCAGCCATGCAGGCATTAGACCACACACCTTGTGTATCCGACGCACAAGCGTCATGGATAGGTGAGTGTCTGTACGCCACTGCAAGATCACAATGACAATTGTTACGGCGCAGAGAACTGTAATTTTGACGCCACTGTCAGAAAATGATCGGTGTCAGAAAATGATCGGTGTTGTACCACATTCAGGAAGAACTTTTCTTGGATGCTTCAGTAATACTGTAAATTTTATTTTCACACCACTGTACAACAATAATCAGCGGCGTGCATTCTTGTCGCTAGTATAATACTGTACATAACAGTCACGCCACTGCAATGTACACACACATTAACATTTTCTGACACTCCCTTCATTCCCGTAGCCTCGCTTACTACCCTCGGGATGCCTCCGGGATGTCTCCTGATGGGCCCAATGTTGCACAGACTGGGGCGCAGGCGCACCCTCTTACTGGTCAACGCGCCCGCAGTGATAGGTTGGCTCCTCATTGCCACGGCTTCTCACAGCGAGCCCTGGTTCTTGTACCAGGTGTACACGGGTCGACTCCTGACAGGGATCGCTGCAGGGCTCGTCAGTACCCCGGCCGTTGTGTACGTCGGTGAGGCCATGGATAAGATCTGGAGGGGAGTTCTGATCACGTGGCCGAGCATAGGTAAGCGCTCAGTTCTTGCTGTCAGCACACAAGTGCCCACAGTCTCCGAGGAACGCTGTACGCTGTAATTGATGTTATTTGGAGAGACAACTCGAAGTGAAGGCACGGTGGAAGCGTTTGCTGTAGAGGATTGTACATTCATTTGATTTCGTTTTATACTGATCAGGCATAACCCTTGTTACGCGTTAAAATCTAAACTGATCGAGTCCAGTTAGGAAATGTGCATATGACTTTTGAATTCTAGGGAGTTCGCACGTTTCTGTTTAATTGTCTCGCAAACCGCAAGACTCACAAAAAAAAAAGAATTGGGCGCAAGATGTCTCCTTCTTATACCTATATTTTTTTCGAGACATTTTACGGCCCACCCCCCCCCAAAAAAAAGAAATTGCGAGAAACGATCGAAATGCGAGAAGAGAGACGCGCAGGTCTTCAAGTGAAATGTCCGTCATTGTAGTCCCACTGTAACCAAAATTCGAATGTGTCCAATTTCAGTAAGATTCCGCACTGCCTAGTTTCATAACTGGTTCAAGCTCCTCGGGACAGTTACATGCGGCGACATGGTGATAAGAGGCGCACTTCTGGCGGAAGTTTCACGACGGGAATTCTTCTCATAAAGTAGTTGTAATGCCACGTTTAGGTATAACATTAGGGAATCGCGCTAAAATGCACATGAATGCGGCAACGGGCAAACCGTACAGTGGAGCCTCTATCGGCGTAGCCGCCAACTCTTTGCAACTGACGAGGTGATGACGTTCCGTTACTTCGTACTTCTTTCTAAATGATACCGAATAACACTGATGTTGAAGAAAGCAGTCTTCTGGGATTTGGCACCGTGTATATGTGATGTTAACCGACGTTTCGGAGGAAGGTATCGCCTCCATCTTCAGGGTAGAAGGAAAAATATAAGAAATCCGCAAGCGAAGAGACCGTGAGAACCGGCATTCGCTTGCGTATTTCTTATATTTTTCCTTCTACCCTGAAGACGGAGGCGATACGTTCCTCCGAAACGTCGGTTAACATCACACGGTGCCAAATCCCAGAAGACTGCTTTCTTCATAGTCACCGCCGTGAAAACCTCAATCTTACAACACTAATGTTGGTCCCAACAAGATGTCAGTTCTGGCGCGCATGTTTGTATCCGCAGCAAGAGAACACGAGGTCAAGTACAGAAAGCAAGTCTTTAGTACTGACCTATACCTCCGCCTCACTCCTCTCCTACATAAGTAGTCCGTTGTAGACTTAATCTGCCATTCTTGTTTCCCACGAAAACTAAACGCATATTTTTAGGTGTTTCTCTGGGCATCCTGGTGGTCTACGTGCTGGGGTCCTTGTTTCGGGACAACTGGCGCCTGGTGGCTGGTATCAGCAGCTGTGTCCCGATGATATCCATTATTGCGGTGTGGTTCCTGCTGCCCGAGAGCCCCGTGTGGCTCGTGTCGCGGGGCAGGATTGAGGAAGCACAAGCCTCCATGAGACTCATACGAAGCGTACCCGAGGATACCAGCCTCTCGGACAGCTTGCAGCAGGAGTTGGACATCGCGTTGGCGCGCGAGGACCAACAGAACAGCTGGAAGGACACGCTCAGCTTCCTGAAGAGACCCGAGGCCTACAAGCCGCTTCTCATCATGAACGCGTTCTTCTTCTTCCAGCAGTTCTCTGGAATATTCGTCGTCATTTTCTACGCGGCCAGTATTGTCCGGGATACGGGACTGTCATTCGACGATTACCTGGCAACCGTCCTGATTGGCGTGTCCAGGTTCGCCACGTCACTTGCTATCAGCTACGCGTCCAAACGGTGCGGCCGTCGGCTGCTCTGTAACATATCGGGAGTGGGGACGACGCTGTCTGTAGGGGCGCTGGCAGCGTTCCTCAGTTTCATGCACTGCGGAATCATCAGTCCTGAGGCAGTGATGACGTACAGCTGGTTTCCTGTCACAGCGCTCATTCTGTCCGTGATGACAGGTACGGTCGGTTTTATGACGCTTCCGTTTGCAATGCTGGGGGAGGTATTCCCTCTCGAGATAAGGGGTTCGGCTTGTGGGTTCACAACCTTCATGGCGACCATCTTCAGCTTCTTGGCGGTGAAGCTGTTCCCCGACATGGGGCACTGGATGGGATATGACAACGTGTTCACTCTGTACACTGCAGTGATTGCCATAGGAACCGTCACGATGTACTTCTGTCTGCCCGAGACGCATGGGAGGACGCTACCAGAGATCGAGGAGCTCTTCAGAAGCTAAAGGTGGAGATAAGGAGGCCGAGAAGCTGACGAATTCTGACAAGCACGAGAGGTGGCCTCAAAGAAGGGGGGAATAAAACGGAAGGACAGTGGAATGTCTCTGCATGTGTCCCTCGTACGTAATATCTCTTTCTTATCAACAGTTTTCGAGCTGTACAGTGAAATGGCTCTATCTAGGAAACCGTTCGGAATAGAACACATATACATATAAACATTTTTCTTAGAGTGACCCGCTACTATGACCTCACAGAGTATTGACCTTCCTTCCTGGGACACCTGTATAATGTGGCAAGGTAACAAATGAATAAACATTTGAAAGTATTTAGAAGGTCGTTGTTTAAGTGAAGTAATTTATGAAAGAGTAACATGTAGGTATGAGCCCGGATAGCGGAGTCGGTGTAGCGACTGGGTAAAGGCTAGGCGACCGAGGGGTCGGAGTTCGAGTTCCAGTAGGGACAAGATTTTTCTTTTCTCCACGTCGTCCAGACCGGTTCTGGGTTTCGACCAACCTCTTATCCAGTGGGTGACGGGGGCTCTTTCCCTGAATGCAAAGCGGCCAGGGCGTGAAGCTGACCACTCACCTTAAGATAGTGCCGAGGTCAAGAAACTGTGGATGTATACATCTACTCCCTCATACGCCTTCATGGCGTAGTACTTAATTAGTTAAGCACAGGACAAGTTTAACATGTAGGTATATCTCTGTGCAAAAGCGTAAAGTGTCACAATGTGACGGCTCTACCTATACTGACTTGGCACCCAGTGTCACGTGTCTGTGAGTGCCTAGGCAGTAGAGCGTCCAGGAGTCCAGTGGCAGCACGTGGAACGTACCGACCATACTGTTCCCCGCTTGGCTGGAGGAACTAAGGAAATCCACGAAATTCGACCCGAGCATGTCCCGAACACGAGTGCAGAGTGTTCCCGATAACCCGGTGGGTGAACTTCATGTACATTAGCCAAGGGGGACGCCTAACAGGAGGAGCAAGCGAACTGTTACGAAGAGACCATATAACTAACTAACTAACTTCATGGAGCGGAGTCCTCCTTGAGTAGCCACCAATTGCGCAGCTACTCAAGAACTTTCCAGAATTTTATGGAACCCGAAGGTTTATTGCCGTGTTCACAAGATCCCTCCACTGGTCCCTATCCTGAGCCAGATGGATCCAGACCATACCATCCCCACTCTATCCCTCTACAATCCAGTTTAATACCCACCCACCTACGTCCTGGTCTTCCTATTAGTCTCTCTCCTTCTGACATTAATGTTCTATAAAACTTATTAAAATTATTCACTTTCAAGTTTTACACTACATATTTCGACAAATGTGGTCATCATCAGGTGTTAACAATTATGGATGAGGAACTTACTGCATTCTGCATCGTAGCTTAAGTTATTAATATAGTCCCCTCAATGCGCATGCGTGTTCGAGGCGAGAACAAGGCAAGCAACACCACACAACAGGAAGGAATACAACCAGTAACTAACTGATACTAGTCAGACAAATGTTTACCTGCACGGACTTTACTACACGTTTCGTTTAAACACATTTTAATCAGCCTAATTATTTTCATGGGTACCCCGAACTCTATGAGAATACTGTACAATACTTCCCTCCTAACTGAATTATAGGCTTTCTAGATGTCTATGAATAGCTGATGTACTGTCTCATTGTAGTCCCATTTTCTCTCCAGTATCTGACGGAAGCGAAGCACGTGATCTGCAGTTGATCTGTTACGTCGAAACCCACACTAATGATCCCCAATAATTTCATCTACATATGGACTTAACCTTGAGAGATGGATATTGGATAAAATTTTACCAACAGTTGCTGTAATGGTGACTTGCAGAAGCTGAAGCCAGCCTTGATGAGATTCGTATTAGTCTGCTAACGCACTAACTCAGTCCACGGAACCGAATCCTTCTTGAGAAGCTGTCAGTCGCTCAGCTACTCAAGGAATTCCCGGCATTTCATGGGACCAGAAGGTTCAATTACCGTGTCCACAAGAGCCCGACTCTGGTCACAATTCTGAGCCATGTGACTCCAGCCCACAACCACCAGATCTGTACCTTTAGGCTACATTTTAACAGCATCCTCCCCCCCCCCACGTCAGTCTTCCTTCAGATTTCCCTGCCACAAACGTGTACTCGCCTACCTCCATCTACGGGGTACCTACTTGACATCACACAACTCCTCATGGCCTTATTCAAGTAGGAACGCCGGCTTATCTGGAATCCGAAACGTCGGAAGAGGGAAAGCTTGAATACAGACGGTCACAATGGCAATTAGTCTCCTGGTATATGACGCCGTTTATTCTGGTATATCATTATCAGTGCTTCTGGGAAATTTTATGCCATGAAGATGAAGGCTAAATGTTCCTCAAAACGTCGCTAACAATCTACCAGACTACACGACGTCACACATCAGAAGACGGCACATAATATTCACGAATTCTTCTTGTCTAAACTTCTTGACTGTAGGTCGCACCCTGAGCAGGCAACCGTACAGATCGACGGGTGACGAAAATACGGCCAGGAACTGTCGAATGAGGACGCCACAATCTGCGTCGCTCTGTGATGGCTCGCGTTCCGTCTACTGCACCTCTCTCTCTGTACTGTAGTCAGGGTGGGCGAGCAGGCGACTGGCGTGTTCATTCTTTCCCTGACCCAAGTGTAAGTATTGCTGTCATAATGACTGCATATCTTGCGCTGGGTCCGTAACTCTGGCCACAGTCCTACCCCTCGTCGAGGTTTCAGACCCGAGAGTCACTACGGGACATTCTCAAAACAGGCTCCGACCTCTTCCTTTACTGTCTTCAGAGATATCTACGGTTCTGCCAGTATCTACGTTATATAGCATCTGATGTTGCGACGTTTCGTCAATAGTGTTGTGTAAGGAAGTGGTCGTGGTCGGTTCAAGGCACAAACAATAATGCACAATAAGTGCATATGTGTAGAGGGACTGAGGAAAACCGCCGAAACCTGGGTCAGGACAGCAGGTATCCAGGTAAGATCTAGTGGTTTGGTGTATGAGTAACAATGTTTCAAAGGAACTTGCTGCCGCCATCTTCAGATTTACGAAACGTTCTCCCCCTTCTACCAGACCACACGGCTTTACGTCACCAACCCTTACGAAGCGCAATTCTCCCGAAGCTTGTGACAATGACGCTTCTTTATACCAATATTACGTTGTCCAGCGTCCGCTGTCCAACGTCCATTGACATACCGGACATTTGGGAGTTCGGTTGTTACGGTTCGCGGTTGTGATACCGGTGGTGATGTAGGGCTTGAACCCGGGACCTCTTCGGTATCAAGCTACTACAAATGGGGGTGGTATGGAGGTCAGGTTAATGGCCCACTACTTAAACGGCCCTTTGTTCGAGCTCAACAGTCCCCAATATTAGAATCAAAAGTAACAAAATCTGCGTCGGACTGTGAACAGTACTCTCTTGCCGTATGGCGCCGTGTAGTCGGAACTTACTGCCTCCATCTTCAGGATTGAAGACTGAGCCGAGCCTTTGCTTGCTGCTCTCGTTTCCTATACAGGCTATCGTACTATGAACCTTCATGCTTTGTGCAGTATCCCCTTTACGGCGCCTCGACGCCGACGTTAATCCTACCGCCCACGAATAATGCGCATAAAATCACTCGCAAACATTTTCCTATGCATAGGACACCGCTCCTCGCATATCTATTGTACCAGCCCCAGATGATAGGTGAGGGTGATTGTGGAGCGATTGGTGGAATGAAGATTGGCAGGGGAAACCAATGTACTCGGAAAAACCCTACCTCAGCGCCACTTTCTCCACCACAAATCCAACTTCATCAGACCCGAGATCGAACCCGGGCCGCCGCGGTGGGAAGCCAGCGACTAACCGCTTGAGCTATGGCGCGGCCCCTCGCATATATATATCAACGTATTGCCAATATTCACAGAACAGACACGATACACTGAAGTGAGACTTCTCGCTCATTCTTTACCAACAAAATAACTTGCGTCCATGCAACGTTTTAACCCTAGAAAATTCGCTGCTACGGCAAACCGAAGTTTTATAATTTCAGAACTTTCATCTCATGCTTGTAAAACAAAAATAAATAAGTATACATATATATGTGTGACTATCGACAGGGTTTTGGATTGGTGACTGGATTTATTGATCACTTTACCACACGACTCGTGACCACACGTAATTTCAGAGCCATCGCTAATCTGCACACTTTACAAATCACTACAGCATACGCTAAGTCCTTTTAGTCTTGTGTATTCTTCGCCAGTCATTCCCTGGTAACGGCTTCTAACAGAGGAGATTCTTCAGCCTCTGTGTTAACTTCACCGACTAAGCCTTCTCTTCACAGACTCCCTTACAAATCTCACGAGCTTCCATACCCCTCTCGGTTATAACATCTTGGTATGGACCGCGTAGAAAACAGTTCATTGTTGAACATATTTGTTTGTGAACGCGTTACTCAGAAACGGCTCCGTATATTTGCTTATTAAGAATATGTTCCTTAGCAGCGGATGTTGTTTCATTGTTTGTTTTGCGGTCGTTACCCAGTAACGGGTGTACACGCTACAATATATGTATACATCAGTTCAAGTCAGCATCAGAGAGGGACGTGTCTGACTGCACAGGGACACGGTGCGACCCTACTGAGGTGTGAACCGTCTTTCTCACGGTCAGTTCCAGGCCAATGGCCGCCTTTACACCCACCCCTGGCTGCTTCGTGGATCCCAAGCAGTTCTGCAGTAAGTGGTACAGGGAAGTGCGCAAGTCCCTTATCGGGAAGGAATCTCCGGCCATCTAAACCCTATTCCACAGCAGCGTTGTTTCTCAAAGTGGGAGCCGCCAACGTTTTTAATCGTTTAGTTATAATATATATATACAATTGCAGACTGTCGACATAACGGATATGGTACTTCATGGTTATAATGAGGGCACATAGTCGCGGGATTGCGCCGCCTGGCCTGCGCGCACCTGTAGCACTTTCGAAACACCAAGCCCCACCCTGGAATGTTAGGGTCAGCCCTTCGGCTCCCGAGAAAATAAAGTCAGTTAATACAGAAGTAAGCTGAGTCCGTCAGTTTTCAGTGCAGTGGGGTACATGCTCGTCAGAGTTCAGTGCAGTTCAGAGCAGCAGCACGTGACCAACAAGTGGCGTTGCTGTAAAGGTATGAGTGAGGGAGCGCGCGAAGTTACGGACCGGGGGGGGGACAGCAATGGCTCCAATTATCCAAAACCGTTACAATATTTTTTAAATTGATAAATCGCATATGAAGGTGGCCTCAAACACGAGTTTGGAAATCGCTGGCCTACAATGCGCCCTTATCTGAG